GACATTTTGCACTAAGCATTTTTGAGTTAAAAACAAAACAGAAAAAAAGATCCACTTAAGATCACACATATTTTATATAGATAAAGCCCTTCGTAAAGTATGGGCTGTACTTGTGAGTACAAGTTTTTTTTTCATTTCTTTAAGGCTTGGTCTACAAGGAATCCCTTCACTGAGTGTATTGGAATCTTTTCCAATACGTCCGAGGGCTCCAACTACAACTGGAATGGTTGATGTCCTCATCTGCCACATTATTGAGATTTCCACTTCGAGATCCTTATAATTTGATAGTTTTTTTTAAGATCTTCAGAGATACATTACAATCTGCAAAGAGTTCCATGTGAATAAGAAAGCATCTGTTTTTTATGGTCTCTGATCATGATGTCTAGGCGATTAACTTTTATTATTCTGTCTATATGTGTATTTTAAAGTCCCATAAAATTGTTACATATCCTATTCACTGTAACCGGGTTTGGGTGTTGTTTATATCAGTTTCTTGCAGTTCCCTTTCCATAAAAGTTGCATACCAGTGCAGATATTGGCGCAGTCTATCAAGCCGAGTTTTATATTCAGTTGGTGCTAACACTGTGCAACCTGATACAAGATGTTCAAATTATTATTATTAAAAGAATTACAATTGTTACAGGTCTTATCTCTGTAACCTACTTTGGGTCATGTTCATACCAGTTGTTTTAAAGATCTTCAAAGATACTTTACAATCTGCCGAGACTACCATATCAATATGAAAGCACTTAATGTTTTGTAGTCTCTAATCACGATGTTTAGGCGATTACTTTTGATTGTTCTGTCTGTGTGTATTGTAAAGTCTCAAAACTGTTACAAGTCCTATCTCCTTAACCGGTTCTGTGTGGTGTACATACCAATTCCTTGCAGTTTCGTTTCCGTAATAGTTACATATTTTCCTATACAGATACTGGCCCACTCTGTGATGCCGGGTTTTATGTCCAGTAAGAACCAATGCCGTGCAACCTGATACAAGATGGTGAATTGTTTCTGGATATTTATCATAGAATTTGCATTTTGGGTTAACACAATTTCAGTATGTGTGTTTGGTCATTTCAAGTTAGCAAGAATTGTTCCTGTGGAGCAAGAATAAAACCTTCGATTACAGCACTGATGGGTACCGGGTTTGTCTACATCAACTTGTTTGTTACGGGCTGAATATTGACCCTGAAGAGTTTTATCTGGTCATCATTTCTGTATTTGGTCGATTGCATTTGCTCTTGGTTACTTTTTAAGGTTTTTCCTGTTTCAGTAGGTGCATTATTTTACTTGCATTTCTTTAGCAAACATGAAACTTATTATTATTATTATTATTATTATTAGTAGTAGTAGTAGTAGTAGTAGTAGTAGCAGTATTTCAAGCAGAAATATCTGAGAAGTTTTGCTGCAATCTAAGGATAAAAATTTCATGCAAAACTTCTTGTTCTTCTTCCCTTCCTCCTGTTCCTCTTCTTCGTTGTTTTAGCTACGTTTTTAATATATATATATATATATATATATTATATATATATATATATATATATATATATATATATATAGATAACTAGACTATTTTGAAAAAACCTCGAATTTTTGATTTGCCAATAATTAAATCAATCTCGAGGGAAAAAAGGTTTAAAAAAGAAAGAGCTACAAACATGAACTTCTGTCGACAAAAAATCGCACAGATGCAGGTCTGAAGCCCAAAGAAAAAAACCCGATACGAGTAAACAACTAACTAACAAAAGCGCTCAATACAACCGTAGAGCAGACCTAGATAAACCTAGTGAGCCAAACAAACCTACCTAGGTTTCACCCTAAACGGATCGTCAGGGAAAGTTTGGCAATTATATATATATATATATATATATATATATATATATATATATATATATATATATATATATCACAACACATCTTGAAATGTAACCAGGTAAAATTTAAAATTATGCTAATATATCAAACAGACAATTATTCTTACCTACAAATACAACAAAAAACCTCCTTAAACAAATTTAAACCCGAACTAAATAGATCATAACCCCACATGCAAAAGCACACAACATGCACACAAGGTGACCAAATACAGTGATCAAACCACTTACATACATACATGCACGTATGTGTGTGTGTGTGTATACTGATTACATATAACTTGGGAAGAATGTGTATGTACGTATGTGTGTATATGTGTGTCTGTATGTACTGATTCGTTGTAATGGGTCGGTATGTATATGTGTGTTTGTGTATGTGTGTCTGGGTGTACAGATGTGTTCACTGATTCCTCGTAGTGACACAGTGTGTATGTATGGAGATGGGATATAGACATATATATACCCACGCTGACAAAAGCACACGAAAATCGAAATAGATCTAAGAACACACAGGGGTCATTAAAAGATAAGCATGCCGATAACTATTCCATCAATTCACGAACGAATCTTAATTGTTTTATAAGCCTTCAACTTTTCACTGCCAGTTCAAGAAAGACGTTTTGGATCACTAAAGCAAAATAAGAGAATGTCTCATATCGAGAATATTTAACATCGAAAAACATGAAGAAAAAAATTAATTATTTTTAATAAGATGTGGAAATCTCCACCCTTTACCTGATGACGGTTGCGGGACCGGAAATACGTGTAGCAAATTTATGGAAAATAAAACAATATTTTTTGTTTTAAATCCACATTACAACCAAAAACGTTTGCGGTTTCTCTCTTCTTTTTAATATACACACATTTCTCTCGTTGAAACTACTATAAACTCTTCCTTATATATATATATATATATATATATATATATATATATATATATGAAGAAATATAGTCTTAAGGTGTGCTATATTTCTGGGATAAAGTTCTCAATATCAGAGATAGAGCGTGTAAATATGCAAATATATTATATATATGTTTTGTTTTTAACTCAAAAATGCTTAGGGGAAAATATCATGTTGCTATTTTTGGTCTTTGGTCTCTGGTCTCTGGTTGGGACCCGGAAATGTATGAGTGTAAACCAAAAATCAAATAAATAATAATAATAATAATAATAATAATATATTATATTTAATATATATCATACAATATATATTATATAATACCTATGTTACATATAATATACAGTGCTCGTTTTCTATGTGCTGCGTCACTTCCGGGCATATCCCCAACTTCCTATCCCGTGTAGTTCCCACACACACACAGACATATATATATATATATATATATATATATATATATATATATATATATATATATATATATGCGCGCGCGTGTGTGTTACCAATTTGTGACTGGTAAGGATAATTCAAAGGAGCATATTAATTCAGAGAGAGCTCAATGTAAACTAAAGTGAATAATAATAATAATGATAATAATAATAATAATCAAGAAGAAAACCTTAATGATTCATTTCGGTTATAATTTATTTCGTGAATATCTATATATTCAACTCTTCAGACTGAAAACTCTTAGTAAATGGAGACAATCCACCACGCATTTTTCAGAAACTTAATGGTATATAACTTTTCATGTAGGTACAAAAGACATGGGTCATTTAAAGATCTACATGTTTTCCTTTTTTTTTTTTTGTTATTAGTTTCCATTTTACTGCGGGGGTTTTATTTGTTTCTTTTAAGCGCCAAAATATTTGGATAGGGATGTTTGGTTGCGATACTTCATATTATGAAAGGAAGTCAGATGTTGGAAAGGAAGTCAGTATCAACAGGCAGAGATTTCAAGTCCCCACCTCACCATAACCGATTTTCACTTTGCTACATAAGAATATACCCTGTATCTTGAATCAGCAAAAAAGACAACACCCACTTAATAAAAGATATTAAGTTCTCTTCCTCCAACAAATTAACATATATAATACTATTCGGCTTATAAATAGAATAAATCAATTTTTTTCTAAGGTTATTCTGTATTGTTTGAAAATGGAACTGGAATTTAAATTAAGATTTAGTTTTGAAACATGGTAATTTCAGTGTCGCGATGAATACATATTTATAAAAAAATTATAATATATATATATATTTTCAGTCGGGTTTCGATCCTAGCTAGAGGCAACCGGATGTCTAGCCACACTGATGAGCTGTAAACAGCGAAACAGTCTGTCTGTGGATGACGTTATATCTGCTCCTGAAATTAATTTCCGTTGAGCACTCTGGGGGTGAGGTGTGGGTTCGTAAACAGTGACTATTATAGCTATATAGCGAGACTCTTCACGAAAGCGAATTGAGTCACTGTCAGTCACTGGGCATGTTTCTAAAATAAATATGCTAAAAATCCACCTTCATCCCTACCGTGCGCCGTTGTTAGAAGCTCCGACTGACACCAATTCAGTCGGGTTTCGATCCTAGCTAGAGGCAACGGATGTCTAGCCACACTGATGAGCTGTAAACAGCGAAACAGTCTGTCTGTGGATGACGTAATATATATATATATATATATATATATATATATATATATATATATATATATATATATATATATATATTGATTATGTGACTGAGTCGATAGAATGATTGCTTTCTGACCATAGAGTTGAAAATCATCTCCGAGCTCTTGTGGTTGATGAATTATTCTCATCTACAACAGGGATTATCTCCCCACGCCAAGAGAAGTAACTTCTGTTCGGTCAATGAATGTCGAATGTTTTCTGGGTTCTGGAAAAGTTTCTTCAGCACTGCTTCTGACTAGGCAAAGATTTTTTTATTTTTTATGCGCCCTTAATTTTTATTAAGGAATGAACATTGTTTCCTCTAATCTATTTTTAAAAACTACTTTTGTCACATGATTTCCCGTATTTGAACTTTGAATGAATATCATCACTACAGATTTCACTCGCTTTCTTAAAAATAATTATAATATTATGCTCTACTGTGTATCGAGCACTGTTTTTAAAAATAAATGTAAACGAACTCTGGATAATAAATAGGACTGTTCTTTCTCATTATATATATATATATATATATATATATATATATATATATATATATATATTTAGTGAGAGAGAGAGAGAGAGAGAGAGAGAGAGAGTGAGAGATGAACATACTGAAAATGATAGATAGATAGACAAATAGATACAAAAAGACTGAAATAGATACCAACAGACGAAAATAGATAGATAGATAGAAATGAATATACTAGGATATGAATAGTCTGAATTAAAATCTATCTATCTATCTATCTATATATATATATATATATATATATATATATATATATATATATATATACTTATTTATATAGATACATACATATATATATACATATATGAAGAGACTGAGATAGATAGGAATAGTGTGAAACAGATATGAACAAACTGAAATATCTAGCTAGCTAGATAGATAGATAAGAACAGACTGAAATAGATAGATAGATAAGATAAATAGAAAGATAGGTAGATAGATATGAATAGACTGAAATAGATAGATAGATAGATATGAACAGAATGAGATACATATGAACAGAATGAGATAGATATGAACAGAATGAGATAGATAGATAGATAGATAGATAGATAGATAGATAGATATGAACAGGAATTAGATAGATATGAACAGAATTAGATAGATAATGAACAGACTGAGATAGACAGATAGGTATCAACAGAATGAGATAGATAGATAATAAACAGACTAAGATAGATAGATAGATAGATAGATAGATAATGAATAGACTGAGATATATATAGATAGATGGATAATGAAAAAACTGAGATAGATAGATAATGAACAGACTGAGATAGATAGATAGATAGATAGATAGATAGATAGATAGATAGACATTAAAGAACAGATTGAGAGAAAATGATCAAAATGAACGAAAGAGCTAAAACAGAAAGAATGAACAATATCAATTGGAGAGAAGGAAAAGTGGTTAAAATTTGAAAATGTATTTGAAATGGAAGAATACCTTGTACAAAAACATTGTTGGACGAAGACGCAAAGACAGATTCAATTCTGCAAGGTAGAAAGAGGAAAGAATTGACAATTGTAATCAAGCTAAAAATAAAATGAATAACCTATAATAAAACTCTGTTATATATATATATATATATATATATATATATATATATATATATATATATATGAAAATAGCGAAAGTTAGGTAGAAAAGAAAGCAAAGAGAACGATAAAATATGTGTAGAAGATAGGTATTTGAACCAAAAGTTCTTTTCCTGTCTCTTTGGCGAAATAATTCATTTCATTTCCATTTGCCAAGCAATCCATTACACCTATACCCATCCATTTCCTTTTCTTTTGAACAAAAACCAACTCCGATTCCTGTTCACTCATCCAATCTCTTAGATTCTTGGGGTTTTTTTTTCTGTTTCGTTTTGTTTTTATTCCCGCCTTTGGGCATCAACGTCGTATGTCGAACTTCTTTTCTCTCGGTTTTGTTTTATTTTATCGTATTCAAAGATGGCGTCTTTAAACGTGTTTTCTTCTTTCTCTCTTCTTATCGCGTTTTCTCATCGCCGAACGAAAGAAGAAGAAAAAGAAAAAAAAACACGTGAGTTAGCAAGTGCGCATGCGTAACGCACCTGACGCTTTAGCGCGAAATCCTTTCCGGCGAGATGGAATTATGGAGATGGAATTATATTGCCAGTGCTAATCGAATCTACAACGCTTTTACCCGCCTCTCGGATTTTTTTCCCTCTCCCTTATCTTATTCATTTATTCGTTTGTTTCGGCTAGCTTATTTATTTATTAAGAGAATACGCTTTCCAATTTTTCCCGCGTTGTGCCCAATTGCATTGTAACTCTGCTTAATAAAGACTAACTTGATGGAGTAGCGGTGTTGATCAAACGATTAAAAAGAATACAATTGGTGGAAAAGAAGAAAATGTGAAACGCTAAACAACAAAAATAGTTCTTCCAAAGAAAAAAAAATAGAAACCTGAAAAAAATAGAGAAAATAGAACAGAAAAATAATATAACAGGTGTGCATAACTCGGAGCGGGAGGAAGTGACAACGACAGAAAACGCAAAGGGAAAAGGCGGCCTCGTTCTGAGATGTGCTTTGAGAGAATAAAATCCAAAAGAAGGAAGGAACGGAGGAAGAGAGGAAAGAAGGAAGAGAAGAAGGAAAGAAAGAAAGAAAGAAAGGAAGAGAAGAAGAAAAATTAAATGTAGAAAGGACGGAAGGGAGAGGAGAAGAAAAGACGACAGGAGGCAAAGAAAAAAGAAAGAAGCAAAGGTTAAAGAAATGAGTGAAAGGAAGGAAGGAAAGAACGAAGGAAAGAACGAAGGGAAAGATGGAAGAATGGAAAACTAAACGATTCTGAGAAATTCTTCGAGAGAATAAAATCAAAGGAAGGGCGGGAAGAAGGAAGAGATGAAGAAAGAAAAACGGAAGAGAGGAAAAAAGAAAGGAAGGAAGGAAAAAAGAAAGGAAGGAAGGAAAAAATAAAAAAAATAGAGAAGGACGGGCGGAAGGGGAAGAAAAGACGACAGGAAGCAAGGAAAAAAAAAGAAAAAAAGCAAAGGTTAAAAAAAATGAACGAAAGGAAGGAAGGCAGGAAGCGAGGAAGGAAGGAAGGAAGGAAAAGGAAGGAAGGAAGGAAGGAAAAGGAAGGAAGGAAGGAAGGAAAAAGGAAGGAAGGAAAAAGGAAGGAAGGAAAAAGGAAGGAAGGAAGGAATGAGGAAGGAAGGAAGGAAGGAAGGAAGGACGGACGGAGGGACGGACGGACGGAAGACGAAGAGAAACACGGAAGAATCGAAAACAAAAAAAAAGATCGCGAGAAATGCTTCGAGAGAATAAAATCAAAAGAAGAGAAGGAGGAAGGAAATAAGAGGAGAAGGGAGTAAAGAAGAAAGGAAGAGAGGCAGGAGAAAGGAAGGGAGAGGGAAGAAAGAACGACAGGAAACAAGGAAAAAAGAAAGAAACAAAAGATAGAATAATGAGTAAGAAGAAGGAAGGAAGGAAGGAAGGAAGGGAGGAAGGGAGGAAGGAAGGAAGGAAGGAAAGGAAAGGAAGGAAAGGAGGAAGGAAGGAAGGAAGGAAGGAAGGAAGGACGAGGGGAAGGACGGAAGAATGGAAAAAGAAAAAAAGAATTACGAGAAATGCTTCGAGTGAATAAAATCAAAAGAAGGAACAGATGAAGAAAGAAAATCGGAAGAAAAGAAAGAAGTGAAAAAGGAAAGAAAGAAGGAAGGAAGAGAGAAAAGAAGGAGTAAGGAAGGGAGAGGGGAATAGAAGACAAGAGGAAGAAAGTAAAAAAAAGAAAGATGGAAAGAAAGAGTAGAAAAATGAGTGAAAAGAAAGAAAAGCAATGTAAAGGACAGAAGAATGGAAAAAGTAAAAACAATTCCGAGATATGCTTCGAGAGAATACAATCTAATGAAGAGAGGAAAGAAGAAAGAGAGGGAGGAAGAGAGAAAAAGAAAGAAAAAAAGGAAGGAAAGAGGGAAGGAAAGAAGAAAGGACGAATAGAAGGACGGAAGAACCTAAGGAAGATAGGGAAGAGAGAAATGAAGAAAGGAAGGAAAGAAGGAAGACTAAAAGAAAGAAACAAAAAAGAGAAAGAAAGAAAGTGAGAAAGGAAAGGTGATAAAAAGAAGGGTAGAAAAAAAGAGTGGAAGGAAGGACAGGAAAGGAAAGAAAAGCGGAGAGAAGGAAGAATGAAAAAGGAAAAACAATTCTTCAAGAGAATATTATCAAACGAAGAAAAGACGGAAAAAAAAAAGAAGGAAGAAATGAAGGAAGGGAGGAAGAAAGAATGGAAAAAAATTAATGAAGGAAAGAAAAAGAAAGACACAGAAGGAAGAAAAATATGATTCAGTGGAAGGAAGGGAGGAAGAAAATAAGCAAGAAAGAAAAGATGAAAGAAGAGAGAGAGTGGAAGGATTGAAGTGAGAAAGAAAAGGAAAAATAAGTCAAAAGGAAAAGAGTGAACATGAAAGGAAATACGAAAGAAGAGGATTAATGAAATAGTAAGAAGTGAAAAAAAAAGGAAGGAAGGAAAGGGAGAGGAAAAAGACAGGAAGAAAGAGAAGGGATTAAAGAGAAGTAAATGAATGAAAGAAAGAAAGAGTAGAAGAGAAGAAAGAAAAAAGAAAAAGGTGGGAAGAAGAGAGAAAGAAATGAATAAGTGAAAAGAGGAAGAAAAGAAAAGGAGGGAAATAGAGAGGGAATGAAAGGAAGGGAGAAAAAAAGAAAAGACGGAAAGAAGAAAGTAATAAAGAGAGTAAAGAATGAGAGAAAAAAGAGAAGAAGCTGAAGGGTGAGAAGAAAAATGAAGAAAGAAAGAAAGAATGGGGAAAGGTTAATAAAAATAAGATAGAATTTTTTTAAACATTTCACCCCAAGTAAGGCGATAATGTCACTAGGACGCAAGTGATTACAATAAGTGAAAGAGAATGAGAAGACTTTTGTGGGAAGAAAGGACAATAAAAAACAGGTTTCAGGAAGACAGAAGATGGCGATAATGCCACTAAGACGCAAGGGGTTACTGGGAGTGAAAGAGAATGAGAAGACTTTAGTGAGGAGAAAGGATAATAAAAGAACAGGTTTTGGGAAGACAGAAGATGGCGATAATGCCACTAAGACGCAAGGGGGGGTTGAAGACGTTATGGGAAAGGATAATAAAAGAAAGAGAAGGAGAAAACTTAGTGAGGAGAAAGGACTTTAGTGAAAAGGACAAAAAGAACAGGTTTCAAGAAGACAGAAAATGGCAAATCATCTGCTAAGCTTACTCTTCGGAAAATTGGTTCATTGTTTTGTGCCAGACAATTTTTTCTCGTCAGAATCCATCTTGGACATTTATAAATATCCACCATTCGTCCGTGCATTGAATATTGCAACCATATCTGGTCCAGTGTTCCTATTGTATAACTCTAGATATTTGACAAAATTCAAAGAAGCTCTTTTGATGTAATTGATCCTGATCTGCTATCTCGTCTTCAATCACTTTCTCACCGACGTGACGTGGCTTTTCCCTGTCTTTTCTACAATATTTTTCATGGTAATTGTTCTGATATTTTTTCCTCCCTGCTTCCTTTGAGCGTGCAACTAGATTGGCAACTAAGTCACACCGTGTTACTGTTGAACTAGTTTGCTGCAACTGTATGTTATATTCTAATAGTTTATTTTCTCGCACTTCTCGCCGATGGAACTCCCGAGTTTTTGCTTCCTTGCTAACTACAATCTTCAAAAATTTAAATGCAGACAAATGCAGTAATAGCCATTAATACATCGGCGTTAGATCTGTAAAAACGGAAGCCATGTTGTTTATTCGAAAGAAGACCGTGTGAAGTGAGATTCTTAACCAATTTGACAAAGTAGTAGGGACTAATCAATAGAGCTTCTAGTACTATGCCTCCCCACCAAAAAAAAGTAAGAAGGAGGAAGAAAACAAAAAAGGAAGGCGGAAGAGTAAAGAGAAAGAAAGAAAGAAAGAAAGAAAGAAGAGGAAAGCAAGGATGAAGAGAGAAAGAGAGTAAGAAAGGGTAAGAAAAGAAAAAATGAAGAATATAAGGGAGAGTAAAGATAAAGAAAAAAGAAAGAGAGAAAGCCTAGTAGAAAGGGGGAAAGAAAGGAAGAAAGAAAGAAAAGAAAAGAGCGGAAATGAAGGATGAAGAGAGAAAAAGAGATGGGTTGAAAAAAGACAATTGAAGAATATAAGGGGGAGTAAAGATAAAGAAAAAGAAAGAGAAAGAACAAAAGAAAGCCTAGTAGAAAGGGAAAAAGAAAGGAAGAAAGAACGAAACGAAAATAGATGAAAGGAAGGATGAAGATATATATATATATATATATATATATATATATATATATATATGAAAAACAAACTATTAAAGAAGGAAAGTAAGATAATAAGAAAGAGAAGATGAAATAAAGAGACGGAAGGAAGAAACGAAGAGAGGAAGGGGAAGAGAACAAAAGAAAAGGAGAGAAGTAGAAAAGAAAGGAAAAACATGAAAGATAAAATGGAGGCTGAAAATAAAAAAGAACAGAAGAAGAAAGAAAATGGAGGATGGCGAAAAGAAGAAATGAAGAAAAGGTGAAGAAAGAATAAAAGTTAAGATCAAGTATCTACACTGGCAGTAGATGCTCAGTAAAAGAAAAGGGTGTAAGACAAGGATGTGCCTTCTCACCGGACTTGTTCAACTTTTACAGAAGGGCAATTCTGAGAGAATTAGATATCCTGTCGGGATTTGTTGTTGGCGGTCACAATCTTAACAACATAAGATATGCAGAAAACACAGCGTTGATAGCAGACACAGGAAGGAAACATGAAAAATTCCTACAGAAACTTGCGAAAGAAAGCGAGAAGAAAGGACTAAATATAAAATACGAGAAGACAGAATGCAGGGTTGTTAACAAAAGGATGACCCCAAAATGCAAATTACAAATCCGAGTAATAAAATAAAACAAGTGTAAAAATTTAAATATCTGGGAAGTGTTTCAATAGAAAGACACTGAGATCCGAAGGCGCTTTAGGATAGCCAAAGGTGCCTTCCAAAAGCTAAGCAGAGTATTAAGAGACATGAAAATGTTGTTAGAAACGAAGAAAAAAAAGAGTACTGAACTGTTACGTGATATCTGTTGTCCTATGTTAGTGAATGCTGGAAAATTTCCTCAAAGATGAATACGAGACTTGAAGAAAAATAAATGTGGTTCTACAGAAGGATGCTGGGGATACCATGGACAGAACAGTGAGTATCAACGAGGTTTTAGAGGAAATTTAAACAAAAAGGAAGCGACAGCTGAACTTTCTGGGACACATATTGAGAAAGAAGGGCTTAGAAAAATCTGATACTCACAAGGACAGATTGAGGGCAAGGTGGACAGACGAAAACAGCGCGTAAAATACTTGATCAGCTTGACTAAACGGATCATATAACAGGATTTGAAAAGAATTATTAATAGCTACAAGGGACAGGAAGATATGGAGGGCCATGATCGCGTACGTCCTGAAGGGTTAACGGCATAGAATGAAGAAAAAAAGAAGATAAACGTATTTAGTAATAGCCTTTAAACACCGGCAGTAGATCTGTAGAAACGGAAGCCATATTGTTTATTCGAAAGAAGGCCGTGTGAATTGAGAAGCTTAACTAATTCGACAAATAACTAGAGGCTCTAATCAACAGAGATGAAGAAGGTAAGATGAAGAAGGAGAGTAAGATAATAAGAAAGAGCGGAAGAAAGAAAGAGGGGAAAGGGAAGAGAAAGGGAGAGAAGTAGAAAAGAAAGGGAAAAAGAAAGAAATAAACGAATGATAAAATGGAGATAGAAGATAAAAGAACAGAAGACGGAAGAAAGGCGAGGGACAAGAAAAGAAGAAAGGAGGAAAAAGGGAAGGAAAAAAAAAAAGGTAAAGTCGGAAGAAATGGAAGAAAAAAAACAATAAATTTATGAGAATTAAAGAAGAAAATAAGAAATAGAGAGAAAAAAAAAAGAAATCAAAAAGGAAAAGAACAAAGATGTGAAAGAAAGAGAAGAATATGGAAAAGAAAGGAGAAAAAATATAGAAGTAAAATGAGAAAAAAATGGAAAAGAAAGAAAGAGAAAAGAACGTAGAAGTAAAAGGAGTAGAAAGTGAAAGGAGAAAAAAAAAAAAAGAAAGAGAAAAGGAGAAGGACTAGAAAAAGAAAAGAAAGAAAATGAAGAACAAATAAGTAAATAAGAACGGAACAAATAAACAACCAAGAATGAAAACATTAAGAAAAATTTAATGAACTTGTACACAAAAGAAAATAAACATTTTTGTTTGAAAAAAAGGATAAAGAAGAAAAAGAAAAGCATTGGATGACGTAAAGGAAAAAAAAAAGAAGCAAAGAGAATTTAGAAAATAAAAGAGAAGAAAAGAACATAGAAGAACAATAGCCATGAAAAAAAAAAATGTAGAAAAGACACAGGGAAGCCGTGTCATGTCAATTGATTGAAGACGAGATAGCAGATCAATATCTATAAATATCCAAGATGGATTTAAATCTAGATATATAGTAGAAAACCAGATGTGTTTGCAAAATTCAATTCAAGACGTAGATAGGGTGAAGTTCGTGAGCACACTTTAAAAATTTATAACTTTAGCAGTTATTTCGATATAAATAATTTGATTAGAAGTAAATGTATATTTTTAAGAGTTTTATTGGAAATTTTATTTAAGTCCTCCATCATTAGCAATACAAAAAGGGTAATACGATTTTTGCAGTACACGGAAAACATTTGCCAATGATTTACAGTAATGCCTGAAATCACATTAGTTATTTTATTTACTTAAAAACTAGGTACATTAAACTGTATAAAAGATTATTTATCGCAAATACAAATAAAGTTATAATTTTTTTAAAGTGCACACGAACTTTACGGACACACTGTATTTACAAGATTGATTCTGAGGAGAAAAAATTGTGTAGCACAACACAGTGAGCCAACTTTCTGAATAGTAAGCTTAGCAGTTGTTTCAATATAATCACTCCATTTAATGTCAGTAGAAAACGTGAGCCCCAAAAAGGCGGAAAGAGTTACAGTCTTGGAGATTAGCATCACCCATAGTGATGGCAGTCAAAAAAAGTTCTCTCTGGTGATGAAATAAAATCATCTAGTTAAGATTTACAAGTCATTTCTGGTTCCAGTTGACCTCTGATTGGAGATCCTTTACGAGCACAGTTGTCAGGTTTCAGTTAGTCGGACCTGTCAGATATAACTAGTTTTGTTACCAACATAAATACCTAGTTTGGAGCTGATGACATAGAGAAGGACGTTGATGAAGATAAGAAACAGCTTAGGTTCAAGCATCGAGCCTAGAAGGATCCTGCATTAATGTGAAAAGACCTAGAATCGTGTCCGTTCTATAGAAGCTTGATTACATGATTTGTTGGGAACGATTCGATTAAGCCAAATATTCATCCTATAACACCATTAGCCTTGAGATTGCGGAGAAGGCCACAATGCCAAAACCTGTCGAAGGGCGTCAAGATATCTAAATTCACAGCCTGAACTTCATGATTTTTATTGCAAGCCTGATAGACAAATTCAGTAATAGCCATTGATATATCGGCGGTAGATCTGCAGAAAACATTATTGAAAAATTTAATCTCCGGCCTAGTTAATTAAATCTTTATTTGATATCCGGACTAGTGGATTAAAGCTTTATTTAATCTCCGGCCTAGTTAATCAAATCTTTATTTAATCTTCGGCCTAGTGAATAAAAAAAAGAATTTACTCTCCGAAAGAAAAAATAAACGATTATTTAATCGCAATCTCCTGCCTAGAAGAATTAAATCTTTTATTTAATCTTCTGTCTAGTGAATTAAATCTTTATTAATCTTCGGCCTAGTAAATTGAATCATTATTTAATCTCCGGCCAAGTGAAATAAATCATTATTTAATCTCCGGCTAAGTGAATTAAATCTTTATTTAATTCTTCGGCCTAGTGAATTAAATCTTTATTTAATATCCGGCCTAGTGAATTGAATCTTTATTTAATCTTTGGCCTAGTGAATTAAATCTTTATTTAAACTTCGGCCTAGTAAAGTAAATCTTTATTTAATCTTGGGCTTAGTGAATTAAAGCTTTATTTAATTCTTCGGCCTAGTGAATTAAATCTTTATTTAATATCCGGCCTAGTGAATTGAATCTTTATTTAAACTTCGGCCTAGTGAAGTAAATCTTTTATTTAATCTTGGGCTTAGTGAATTAAAGCTTTATTTAATCTTCGGTCTAGTGAACTGAATCTTCATTTAATCTCCGGCCTAGTGAATTGGATCTTTATTTAATCTCCGGCCTAGTGAATTGAATCTTTATTTAATCTTCGTCCTAGTGAATTAAATTTTATTTAATCTCCGGCCAAGTGAATATAATTATTATTTTATCTCCGGCCTAGTCAAATAAATGTTTCTTTGATATCCGGTCTAGTGGATTAAAGCTTTAAACTCCGGGTAAATGAATAAAACCATTATTTAATCTCCGGCTTAGTGAAATAAATCATTATTTAATTTCCTGCCAAGTGAATTAAATCTTTATTTAATCTTCGGCGTAGTGAATTGAATCATTATTTAATCTCCGGCCAAGTGAATTAAATCCACATTTATTCTCCAGCCCAGTGAAATAAATCATTATTTAATCTCCGGCCAAGTGAATTAAATCTTTATTTAATCTTCGGCCTAGTGAATTAAATCTTTATTTAATCTCCGGCCTAGTGAATTGAATCTTTATTTAATCTTCGGCCTAGTGAATTAAATCTTTATTTAATCTCGGGCCTAGTGAAAAAATCTTTATTTAATCTCCAGCCTAGTGAAACGAATCTTTATTTAATCTCCGACCTAGTGAAAAAATCATCATTTCATCCCCAGCCTAGAGAATTAAAACATTATTTAATGTTCGCACTAGTGAATTAAATCTTTATTTAATGTTCGGCCTAGTGAATAGAATCTTTATTTAATCTCCGGCCTAGTGAATAAAATCTTTATTTAATCTCCGGCCTAGTGAATTAAATATTTATTTAATCTTCGGCCTAGTGAATCAAATTTTTATTTAATCTTCGGCCAAGTGAATTGAATCTTTATTTGATCTCCAGTCTAGTGAATAAAATCCTTATTTAATCTCCGGCCTAGTGAATTAATTTTTTTTTAATCTCCGGCCTAGTGAATTAAATCTTTATTTAATCTTCGGCTAAGTGAAATAAATCATTATTTAATCTCCGGCCTAGTGAAATAAATCATTATTTAATCTCCTGCCTAGTGAATTAAATTCATTATTTAATCTCCTGCCAGTGAATTAAATCTTTATTTAATCCTCGGCCTAGTGAATTGAATCATTATTTAATCTCCGGACTAGTGAATTAAATCATTATTTAATCTCCGGCCTAGTGAAATAAATCATTATTTAATCTCCGGCCTAGTGAATTGAATCTTTATTTAATCTCCGGCCTAGTGAATTAAATCATTATTTAATCTCCGGCCTAGTGAATTAAATCTTTATTTAATCTCCGGCCTAGTGAATTAAATCATTATTTAATCTCCGGCTTAGTGAATTGAATCTTTACTTAATCTTCGGCCTAGTGAAGTAAATCTTTATTTAATCTTGGGCTTAGTGAATTAAACCTTTATTTAATCTTCGGCCTAGTGAATTGAATCTTTATTTAATCTCCGGCCTAGTGAATTAAATCATTATTTAATCTCCGGCCAAGTGAATTAAATCTTTATTTAATCTCCGGCCAAGTGAATTAAATCCACATTTATTCTCCAGCTCAGTGAAATAAATCATTATTTAATCTCCGCCCAAGTGAATTAAATCTTTATTTAATCTTCGGCCTAGTGAATTAAATCTTTATTTAATCTCCCGCCTAGTGAATTGAATCTTTATTTAATCTTCGGCCTAGTGAATTGAATCTTTATTTAATCACGGGCCTAGTGAATAAAATACTTATTTAATCTCCAGCCTAGTGAAACGAATCTTTATTTAATCTCCGACCTAGTGAAAAAAATCATCATTTCATCCCCGGCCTAGAGAATTAAAACATTATTTAATGTTCGCACTAGTGAATTAAATCTTTATTTAATGTTCGGCCTAGTGAATAGAATCTTTATTTAATCGCCGGCCTAGTGAATAAAATCCTTATTTAATCTCCGGCCTACAGAATTAAATATTTATTTAATCTTCAGCCTAGTGAATCAAATTTTTATTTAATCTTCGGCCAAGTGAATTGAATCTTTATTTGATCTCCAGTCTAGTGAATAAAATCCTTATTTAATCTCCGGCCTAGTGAATTAATTTTTTTTGTAATCTCCGGCCTAGTGAATTAAATCTTTATTTAATCTTCGGCTAAGTGAAATAAATCATTATTTAATCTCCGGACTAGTGAATTAAATCCTTATTTAATCTCCGGCTTAGTGAAATAATTCATTATTTAATCTCCTGCCTAGTGAATTAAATCTTTATTTAATCCTCGGCCTAGTGAATTGAATCATTATTTAATCTCCGGACTAGTGAATTAAATCCACATTTAATCTCCGGCCTAGTGAAATAAATCATTATTTAATCTCCGGCCTAGTGAATTGAATCTTTATTTAATCTTCGGCCTAGTGAATTGAATCATTATTTAATCCCCGGACGAGTGAATTAAATCCACATTTAATCTCCGGCCTAGTGAAATAAATCATTATTTAATCTCTGGCCTAGTGAATTGAATCTTTATTTAATCTTCGGCCTAGTGAAGTAAATCTTTATTTAATCTTGGGCTTAGTGAATTAAACCTTTATTTAATCTTCGGCCTAGTGAATTGGATCTTTATTTAATCTCTGGCCTAATGAATTGAAATTTTTTTTAATCTCCGGCCTATTGAATCAAATCTTTATTTAATCTCCGGCCTAGTGAAATAAATCATTATTTAATCTCCGGCCTAGTGAATTAAATCTTTATTTAATCTTCGGCTTAGTGAATTAAATCTTTATTTAATCTCCCGCCTAATTAATTGAATCTTTATTTAATCTTCGGCCTAGTGAATTGAATCCTTATTTAATCACGGGCCTAGTAAATAAAATACTTATTTAATTTCCGGCCTAGTAAATCGAATCTTTATTTAATCTCCGACCTAGTGAAATATATCATCATTTCATCTCCGGCCTAGAGAATTAAAACATTATTTAATGTTCGCGCTAGTGAATTAAATCTTTATTTAATGTTCGGCCTAGTGAATAGAATCTTTATTTAATCACCGGCCTAGTGAAAAAAAATCCTTATTTAAACTTCGGCCTACAGAATTAAATATTTATTTAATCTTCAGCCTAGTGAATCAAATTTTTATTTAATCTTCGGCCTAGTGAATTGAATCTTTATTTGATCTCCAGTCTAGTGAATAAAATCCTTA